GACTGGTAAAAATCATGCCTTAGCCAGATGCTTAAATAATAGCTGTTGGCATATTTGGTGGACTCAAGTAGATGATGCACAATGGTCCTGAAGCTGCAGGTTTCCAGAGACAAGTTGCTGATCACCAGAAGCAGTCATTCTTTGGACATGTCTACTTTTTTTCCTTACATGCTGCTTTTATATTTAACAACTTTTAAGTTTCTTACTTGGTTATATACTAGGTAGAAATTTAATTTGTCCTGTAGGATTCAGTTGTCAGATGATATCCAACTGCATTAGGCATTACTTGTATATAGTGAGGTCCAGACAGAGATTTCTGTCCTGCCTGAACCGGCAGCAGTTTAGTCACAAATAAGCAAAAACACAGAGGCTAATATTATAAACTGTTTGGCCCATGGCTCAGGATTCTTATTGGCTAGCTCTCTCTTAATTATTAATCCATTTCTATTAATCTTTTTATCTCCACTAGGTCTTTGCCTAGTGGTATCCAAGCTTATTTCTTCCTCAGCAGGCAACTCCCTGGCAATTCATTCTCTGCATTTCTGATTAGATTTAAGCCCTACTCTACAGAAGGGAACACATATCTGGTACTAAAAATCCTAGCAAAAACCCATGGTTGAAGAGCTCACATACTCATGCGTGAATCTAATATCTTTATTTTGTTAAATAGGTAAAAGGTCAAGCTGTTCTCTAAATTCATATCTCTGTTCTCAGAGATTAGTTCAACTCTCAGACCTGGTGGGGAAGGCTGATGGTAGGTACCATCTTATTTCTTACATGTAGAATGTCAAAGATTGGATACTTCTTTGAGAGGATGACCAAAGGAATAAATTCAGAACATACTGGTTTCAAAGGAATAACTTGATAAAGAAAAGGTAAAACTTAGTTGAGAAAGAGAACAGAAAGATTGAGTGATAGAACATAAAAAGTAAGAGTAGAGATAAGTCCAAATGTAAGTAACAGAAAAGAGTTTACACAAAATAATACATGAAGTAAACATATTATAGATACATGAGTCAAAGCACACAGCTACTCCATGAGTATTCATTATGCTAATTTTGTATACTCCTTATGTTAGAAGCTTTCTATAATGAACACATTCACAATCTTAAGCATTTGCCTTAGTTGAAACATTGCTGCCATCTCTTGTGACATGCTTTATCTAGTGCCTGCCCTCTGCTGTTCTTGTGGCCATGACCCCAAATGACTTAAATTCTTATTTTGTGCCTTCTTTCTAGAAAGGAGAAATCATGTACCTGCTACAGTACAAAGAGTCAGGAAGGGAGAACAGGCTTTCTGTCTCCATGCAAACACCCATACATAAACACTGAGTCGAACTAGAACCCAGATGCAGATGGAGAGGACAAGACCAGACTGTAGAAACACATAGAGACAGCTGACCTGAACAAGGAGGAGCTAACGGGTCCCCAGACTGATAGTTGGGAAGCCAGCATGGGACTGACTCAGGTCCCCCTGAATATGGGTCTCAGCCAGAAGGACTGAGCAGTCTAAGGGACCTCAGTCAGTGGAGCCAGGATGTATCCCTGGTGCACAAAAGGACCTTGGGAACACATTCCCCCATGGAGGGATAACTGCCTTAACCTAGAGACAGGAGAAAAGCCCTAGTCCCTACTTCACATGACCTGTCAGATCTACATGACCCCAACTGGATGGCATTCCCCTACATAGGGAATTGGGGTGGGGGATGGGAGGGGAGGGTGGTTAGGGTGCATGTGAGAGGGCAGAGTGGGTAAAAGGGAGGGAGGGAGGGAAGGAGGAAAGGGGGAAGGGATGGAGGGAACTGGGATCGACATGTAAAATAAAGTAAATAAAAAAAAAAAATTCTGGAAGCCTACACTGTGCCCAGTTAGTGTTGCTCCTATGTACATGTGTTTAGAACTGAGCACTTAGAATTAGAAAAACCTATCAAGGGGCTCAGCCATGGAGAAAACTGCCTCTTTCCCACTCAATAGTCACTGACTGCCTGGAACTCTTCATCTAGGGGTTGATCCTTATGAAATTTCACTGACCCATATTGACATGTGTGGCTATTATGTAGGTCTTCTTTAGATAATCATATTGCTGAGGTGTCATGTGTACAGCATCCTTGTCATATCTTGAAGGCACTAAGTCACAACAGGCATCTTATTTCTTGAACTTGTAGAGTCTTTCCACCCCTTCTTCCACAGTGTTTCCTAAAGCTTAGGGGTTGGAATGGGAGCCCTGATTCGTATACCTCCATTTTCAGGTTTACAGCTTTAATTAAAAACAACTAACTCTCTTTATTTTGTTGTTTTGTAATGTTCTCTTCAACATATAAAAGTGAATTTTTTCTTGTATTTTCTCTCTTTCTGTGTGTGTATGTGCTCATGCTTGGGCACACACGCACACATGTGGAAGTCCCAGATTGACGTTGACGATCACCCTCACCTGTTCTTATTCTTTGGTCACAGGGTCTCTTAAGCAAACCTAGAATTCACCCATATGGTTTGGCTAGTCTTAGCCACTTCACTCTGCCTTCTGAGTGCTGTACAAAAAGGCCACCATACTCACACTTGGTGTTTACATGGATTCTGAGGATTCAAACTCTGTTCTTCAGACTTGCATGGCAAGCACTTAGACCACTAAGCCATCTATCTCCCCAACGCTCAAATGATGTTTTTAAAAAAGTTTATTGACCATGGTACTGAATCCCAAGAAGTTTATGTTATGATGAAATTAAAACCATTACTTTCTTTTTTGACATTTTCTCTCCCCCCCCCCAAAAAAATAAATGACCTACATTTCTCAGACCTTGGGACATTGAGTGTCTTATTGAAAAAGAGCTTTTAAAAATTATTTGAACAATGGATTTGCATGTACTTTGTTAAGAGGTCAGTAATTTCCCAGTGGCTAGCAGTTTGGGTCACACTTGTCTATAAATAATGTTTTCTTCACATGGGCATGAATTGGCATTGCAACACCTTTGCACCTCATGACCAGGTGTGCACAGAGAAGGTTCCTGTTTCCCTGGGAAACATAGAAGGGTGTATGTGCCATTAGCATCTGCAAATGAGTGGCAGACCAAAGAAAGTATTCTCAGAGAAGGCGACCACACATGTGAACAACTGCTTTGATCTCCACCATCTGGCTAGGCTTTAGAATTATGCTAGGGAAAGTGGGCAGGTTCACCAGGCACATTGTTGTCTCTTTAGTGCTGTTCCCACATCATCTGTTCCTAAGTAAGGTGATGGGTTACTGTTTCATATTCTCAGTATCCATACCACTTATCCATGGTAATTTCTGTCAATAATAATTGAGTGTAGCCCAAGTTTATAAAACGCAGCCAATGTCTTAAGTCTCATTTGGTTCAGACTACTACTTGAACTTTAACCAAGTGATGTGACAGCTGTTTTCTCAAGAGACTCACTTGAGAACTCTTTAGAGCAGTCAACTCAAATAATAGCATCACTTCCAACAGATGAAGTCACTGAATGCAAGGGGCCACACTGTTTGCTAGTTTGCAGAACTGGTTGCAAGACAGGTTTGGATAAGATAGCTTGGCGATGTTCTTTTGAGATTCCATAAGGGCTTTCTGCATTCATGCAAACACGTGCTTGCAAATTTCTGTCACATGTATCAGTGATGCTATAGCATACAATCGTGTAACTATCATAGATAATAATTAAAGTTTTTTTTTTAGAATCAGTTCTACACTAAAGATGCTGTCATTTCTTTCCACAATGTTTACTATCATATCTCATATTTGTCAGTGTCTCAAGGCCACTGGATAGAGAACATGATAATAAAAAAACCAAGCTTAAAATTATCCAAGTACTAAAATGGCACACAGCTATGACATTTACTGACTTTCTTAATTAAATAATAGTGCAAGAGCCATTCAAGCAGTCTCTGCATGGTTCATTCCCTAAGCCATCCTGCTAAATATTTGAGGATGATTCCATTGGAGGGTTCTGACAGAATTGATTTTTACGAGGAGAAAAGTAGGAGCAAGATGTTCTTCATAGTTTTCACAGCTTTGCACCTCAAATACATCCATCTCTTGATCCTTTCCATTCTGCCTTTCTTCTGATGTAGTAGTTCCTGGGATATCAGCCTTGTTTGTAGGTGGCTGGGACATATTTGTGGTGTAAAATTTATTTACATATAAAATATATCTACTTCCTATCCACCCTGCCCTCCCAAAATGATAGGTCCCCTATACTCATAAGTTCCACACAGAGGACTCTACCAATTACTAATAGGAAATGTAAGGGAGAAAAATGTGTCTGTATTCAACATGTACACACCTTTCTTACTCAGTAAAGACAGTATAACAATGGTTTACATGCCATTTGTATTGAATTAGATTACAAGCAATCTAAAAACAAAGCATATGTCAGATTGTGGGGTACATTATGTACAAATATTACAGTGCACACACACACTCACACACACACACACTTTTTCCTCATTTCAGATTCCCACAGTTATAAGCCTTTCTTACCTGTATTCCTCACCTGTGAAATGGACATATCAACTGGTAGCAGTTGACAGGTATTATTTTGGACAGATTTAGTATTGAGTGATGTTTTTATTGACATTACTGAAGCCTATGAGTCTGGCCTACCCTAGCTAACTTGAACATATAGTTGCTTGGGAATAAGATCTCTACCTGTAAAAGTTATTCTTTTCTGTTTATTGCTGTTGGGTTTTTCTTTTCCCAAAGCTGGATTTTCCAAAGCTGATTAGTCTACAAATAGACATATGCTTTAGGTCTACACTTGTTAATTTACCTTGGAAAAAACAGGTCATTGTCAAATCTGGCAATGTATCTTACAAATACTTGGCAAAAAAGATCTAATTAAGAGATTCTCTTAGATGAAAATCTCAGGGAAATGATCAGTATCAGTACTGTTTTTCTTTTTGTGGTCTGTGTGTACCTTGGTATACGTCACTTCTCATGTCATATTAAAAGTGTGTTGACTGTCTGCTAATAGTTCATCTCTTTCCTTCTACAGCCTCCAAGTCTGTTATAAATAATATGCTACGGGACCCTTCTCAGATTCCAGATGGAGTTCTAGCCAACCAGGTCTATCAGGTATTAATCACAGCTGTTTTCAGTGGCGCGATGCTGTTATCTGCCTAGCCGAGTAGAGGATTTTAAACCTCATTTAATTACTGTCATCATAAACTATCACTGAGGTCATGGCACACCATAAATGGCAATGCAATATTTTCAAGGAGAGCATTTTACTTTTTAATAGCTTGCTTTTATAGTAAATAAAAAGCATGCAGTTTTTGTTTTCTGTGATTAAATCTGAATAGCCTTTTGATAGCTTTCTTTTGGGTGGTGGTGGAGGGGGAGGAAGTAATGACTGCTTTTAGAATGTTTACCATGGTGGGGTTTGTAGTCCTTCCAGCCTATAACCCTTCTCTTATTTGTCTGCAGTGCATCGTGAACGACTGCTGTTATGGACCGCTGGTGGACTGCATCAAGCAGTATCCTTCCCCATAAAATTTTAGGTGCACAATTGACGAGCTTAGACTCAGTGGAGTAGATGTGTCTAGCTTTAACCTGACATAAAGTTCTGCTTCACAAAACACATTTCATACTGTCCTATTTTACATTCAGTCATCTGGAGGGTCACTGCAGTCCATTCTTTTCTCCCACTTAGGAAAGATCAGCTTGGCCACAGGAAGAAGTCAGTTCAGAAGATGCACATCTGCATGCTTGTTTCAAACTGCTTGCTTTTCAATGAGTCGAAAGGTGCAGAGTCATTAGGCAGGTAACACACTGTCTTGGAATGTATGGAACCATCCCAGTGGCCATTTTTAAAAATATAACAAAGTTCCATTTAAAATGAGCCAAATTCAGGTGAGTACTCTAGAATAATTTTGAACCTGGAGTTAAAGGATGATGTTATTAAAATGCCACCAGAGACCCACACATTTTAAAGGGCAGTAGACTCCTTGCTTAAATACTGACTGCAATCTGCACTGTCATTTGGATCCCTAGTCAACATTTTTTAAGAAACTGTGCTAATTTCCCCCTTGAGACCAAATTTAAGGCTGTGAAAGCATATGTCCAGTCATTTGTTATTAAAACCACTGAAATTCCTAAAGAGTTAATGCTCACTTCTTAAAATAAGTTTGAGTGAATGGCAACGATTTTAGTAGAGATTATTGATAAACAAAATGTCATGACTGAGAATTTTGATAACACTTTAGGGAAAGGAGTACTTTCTAAATTAATGGGCATCATTTCTGGTGGAAATCATTTAAAGCACATCCTTCCTGGGCTAGATTTTGATAGCAGAGATGGCAGAGGGGTCAGCTGTGACTCAGTGTTCACCAGTCAGAATTTTTGTTGGGTTCTCTTGCAAGCTGAGTATGTGTGTGCACATATCCACACATTTATATACATATGTGCATATCCATGCATGTATGTGTATTCATATTCACATGTGCACATATATGTTGTATATATCTACATATGCATATATATGTTTATGCATGTGTGTGTTTATATTCTTCTAGTCTTACAAAGGCTTTGAGACAGTTAGCAAAACATATTTGAGGCATGGTTTTGCTATATTGTCCAGGCTGGCCTTATGATCTCAATCCACCTGCCTCCAATTTCCTTTGTGTTGGGATTGTGATTGTGTGTTGTCACACCTGGCTCAAATGTTTTGAGAAGAAAATTACTTTCTTTCCTAAAGACACAATTAACATTTGGCATAATCTTAGATTAGAGCCCTCTCACAAGAGTATTGAATAACTAGGATGTACCTTTTCACAGATGCATTCTCTGATCTGGTGCCCTAACTAAAATGAACCAAACCGTGATATTGTCAAAAGGAGGCTTTTTTATTAGACTAAAGTGTAACTATGCTTTTATTTTCGGCATGAAATTAATTGGGGTGTTAAAAGTTGTAGGAGCGCCTAAGTGATAAACTTCAGCACATTTATATAACAATTGACACCATCTCAGAGTGCCTGGGCCTGAATTACATGCTAATTTCAAAGCACATAAAATAGTTAAAAATCAATTTAAAGTTAAGGTTTTAAAAGCATAATGTCTTTTGAAGGATTGCATATTGATTTTAAATATAACTCTCTAATTATATATGCATGAACTAAAGTATGAAGTCAACTGCTTTGTAAATGCCAGGAGGCTATTTTTCAGTAATAGTTGAGATGCTTACGGGAAACTAGATTGCTGTATTGCTGGCAAAGAAAATGGCTTGTGAGGTTATTTACAAGTTCTACCCCATGGTCACTACCATACATCAATAATAGGTATCCTTATAGACAGTGTCTAAGTGTTTCTGCTTATGGAACATTATAAATTCTGTCTGGAATATTTTTCTTGTATACATATATATTTTTTACCATCATTCATGTTCTCCTTTGGCTGTGTATTGTCGGTAGGATTTAATGGACTATGTAATTTCAAATGATAAATATGATGTATGTATATAAATTGTAATCACTGACTAGATTCTAATTTTTCAGTTCTATTATGCATATTACCAGGTAAATTACTGCTTTTATAAACTTTATTTTGTTGTAGACCTTACATTTTTATGTCTATATCAAACAAAGCATAATCAAGAAGTATATCTTTCCAAAATTTAAAATTGGTGATTACAGTATCTATACAAAATAAAACAGGCTGGGGAGTTTGTGGGGAGACTGATTGTATCTTTGCATTGAAGTGGTGTCAGTTTCATAGACTGTAAATAGGCTTGCAAAGATGCTTCCTAGACAGATCAACAGAAATTATTTTATTTCACACCGAATAAAATTATTGGTTTTCTTTGTAAGTAAGAAATGCTCTTCTGTGTGGTCCTGTTTGTTTGGGTAATCTTTGTTTCCCTTGCTTATCCTCACTAAAGTACATCAGTTTCTTACAGAGAAAGCACACATATGGTAAAATGGAATAGATGCAAAACCTCCTTACTCTATTATGAAAATGTTACATGTAGGCATTCATGTTCAGAGAATAAAGTAAATTGGTCACTTTACTAAAATGACACACTAATCACAGTGGTAAAGAGGATGCATTGTCAGAGTGCTTTATTTTCCTTTTGGTGCCTGCTGTATTTATTTGTTGACTTACTTATTTTGTATAGTATGTGTCATCGTCGTCCCTGCCCCCATATCTTTGCCTCTGCATCTCATATCCACCAAGCAAACTCAATGAAAAAGCAGCCACTTCAACTTTCCTAAGTGGCACTCTAGGCCACAGCTATTAGACAAAGGTCTGAAGAGAGAAGCAAGGGGAGATGATGACGCAGGAAGCATCAGGGGCTGTGGCTTTCTTTTCTGTACCATCAGTAACCTCAGTTTCATGATTCAACATTTTAGATGTAAATAATTTACAACAATAAAAGTGAGAGCACATTTATGTGGAAAGAAGTAAATAATTTAGTTTGAAAATGTGGGATACCCTCATAATGAGAGACCATTGAGACTTATCCATCAAATGTCTTCAATGGACTCAGAAAATGTGTGAAATTCTATGATTTAAATTTTTTTGTTTATTTTGTATCTAGTTAAAAATAAATAAGTGCAGTCATGTGCATTGGAAGAGAAACAAAAATAAAGCAGGGTGGGGGCAGTAATATTTATTTGGTCTTATTTTGATCATGAACAAAAGTGACTGTTTCTTGAATTAGGTGACTTAAATGACAGTCACCTGTAACCCATTGAGGAAGGGCAGGGTGATTTTCTAGGATTTTGTTGTTGTTGTTTTACTAGTGAAACATGAGTTGTCTTTGAATTAAGTGGAATGCTTGTAATGCTTGATCAGAATAACCATCTCTGCTAAGTCAAGGAGTGCTATGCCCATGTTGATATTGTAGGATTTGGTGGGGTGGACAAGGAAGGAGGTCCTGAAAGTTTCTACTAAATGGTTTCACCCGTACTGAAGGATCAGAATAGTGTGACTTTTTTTTTTTTTTTTTTAAAGACTTAGTATGGTTTCTTTCCTTCAGAAGAAAGCAAACTTCAAAGGCTTAACACTGGCTTCAGTATTTATGAGCCATAGGACCTTGAGCACAGTTCTCAGCATTTCTGATCTTCCTTTACATGACTGAGAAAATGGGACCACATCTATCTACTCTTGAAGTTGATGTGAAGATTTAAATAAGATCTCAGGGTGTTTAGCATAACAGTTTAGGTTATGCATTTAGCTGAATCCTTAAAGATTTAGCATGAAGCTTATGTGCTGCTTAGGAAGCATTGAGTAGTAGCCAGTGTTACATAATTCTGATGCTTTTGGAAAAGGTGTGTGATCAGACATGGGCCTTGGATAGAGCTCTTTCCTGGCTTTACTTGTTTGCCTTCATTGCTAGAGAGCAACCCAGGTTAACAAGAGAGCTAGGCAAACACTGTATCAATGTGTTATACTCTCAACCCTCATCCTCAGCTTTCCCATACATTAACTTTGTGTGGTTTCTTCTCTGATGTCCTTTCCCTGTCTACTGAAACAAGCCTTTTTATACTTGTGAGGAGGGAATCACATACTTTAATCACTTGAGCATGTCTGCCGTGGAGAAAACATTGGAACAATTTACATGTTCCTGTGCACATATGTTCATGTGCGCTTGTATTTGATCATGTGCTTAAAAATGTAACACCAGTGTGCACATTTGCATGTGTGTACACACACACACACACACACACACACACACACACACACACACACACACACCGAGGTCAATAGCCTTTCTACCCCTGGAAGTGAAGCAGGTGCTGATAACTGGCAAATGGATCTCACAGATTTCTGGGACTCTAAAGTTGGAAACTGTTAGGGGAAAGACTGGTTAGTTACTGTTCTTTCTTGTACTTAGAGTTTAATTAATATGTACTAGATTGAATTGGAGGGCTGGTTTTTAAAACAAATTAATGACTATTTTAAGTGACACCTGACACCCTTCTTTTTAAAAGAAATTAATTCAACAATTTATAAATTTTTGCCAAAATATATGTGTTAGAGAAAAATTCTGCTGGCTTATTTAAATGAAGGGTGAATATAGAAATTTCCTTCCTCAGAGGTGTGAGCTGAGAAGAACATTTTTTGTGTAATTACCATAATTCTCCATCTCATCTCAACATAAAGACTTGGTATTAGAATTTTCCTGATTGTTCAGCCCGTCTGTGTGTGTTGCCTCCTTAACTGAAATGTCTAGTGCTATTGGTTATGAGCATGAAGTCCTGCTGAGAGAATTGCTTCTGAAGAAAAACTTGTCCTTCCTAGGTAAGTGTTGTTCAAGTCCTCTCTCTGGCTTGTAGTGTCATCACGGGTACTTAAAGATATAGTTTTAAAATCTTCCACCTGCAGATAGTATGTACTGAAAGGAGAGAAGATGATGATTGATGCTCTGCATCTTATCTTTTATTGATTTAGACCTGAGCAGAAAACTCTCTTACCCAATCCCCTATATAGACAGCACATGCACAGGCTTGCAATTAATATTTTATAGAATAAGTGGCTGAAAAAATGCTTTAATATCTGTTGTAGTATTACTTTTGGTGTCATGAGATATTAACCATAATCTAAACTTTATGAGAGAGAAACAAAGAAATATTGTCTATAAAGTGCTTTATCTATTAAAGAGAATACTTAGAAAAATTCGTGTTAGGTATGCTTGTCTTCTCATATAGGAAAGTCCTGTTATTGAAAAGGAAAATATTAAGCTCTTACCGTTTTCATGCCAAATGTTATTGTGTCATAGATATAGTGTGATTTTTCAAAATCCCCCTAAGTCTACATTCATAAGTGACCCAGTAGAGAATCTTACTGTACAATGTTATTTTTTTTTTTCAACATCTCTTCATCATTATAAAGCCTGGAAGGATGTCCATATAACAGTGGCAACTATAAAACACTCAACGAAACATCAATTTCTCTCCTCTGTTGTGTCTGTGCTCACTAACAAAAGATCCACACCAGTCGTGCTAGTAAGCAGCTTCATGCAGACATGAAAAAACCTTTATAGTTTAATTTTAGGGACAAAAAAAAAAAAAAAAGCAAAACATATTCCATGACTTTATTTTACTGTAAAATGGACAACAAATCAGCCAAGGAAGTCAAATCCATACTGCCCATTGTTTTACTCTACTGGAAAGTGGAGTAGGATATGTTGCAAGATTGTTGATACCTTGAAACTGAGAGAGTTCACAAATAATCACTAATAGGGACCAAGAAAAATGAGAAATTAGGAAAATGGTCTCTAATTACTAAATTTCAATAGTACAAACAGCCATGTTTTTTCATGAGTTGCAACAGAATTGTAGAGCCTATGGAAATAATGTAGTATGGGAATAAATTTGCTTTTAAAAATGCATAATGCTAACTAAAATGGGTAACAACTAGGAGCTGTTATAATACAGTTATAATGGGTGCCCGTGAGGCACTCTAACATGTGTTTCAGAACAATAGCATTCTGAAAATATTATCAAATGTGTGATCCACCATTTATTTGGCTGCAGGTTAATGTGAACACAGCCAAGTCTAATTTTTGTTTAAGTCACCAGCTCAGTGGTTGTCATTTCAGGGCTTATTAGTATTATTCTGTGTCACCATCTATCTATGGACACTCAGGCCCCATCGGGCCCACCTCTTTGTCTAGCCTAACTTCTAACTTCTGAATGCTTCCTCCCTGTGGACTAGCAGACTCCCAACTGGAAGAAAGATCACAGAGTTTAGATATGACTTCAATTTAGGTCTAGAATCTTAGGTAGCTGGGAAAGACCATTGTTTCCAATGACATAAATGTACCGAAATAGTGAAATATTGAATTTGATGGGTCCCACATACTCCTTTGTGCTCTGGGGAATTATTTCATGGAAATATATCTGTTGTGTGACTTTACTCAAGGGAAATAAGGACAGATATCTTTTCACCCTAGGTAGGGAACTGACTATAAGCCAACAGTTCCAACCAAGTCATAATCAGTGAGCCTTTAGGTGTTCTGGGGTTGCCTACAAGAGCATGACTGACTCAAAGTTAGCTACATCACAGAAGACTCCATCCCAGTACCAGTGAACACTTAGGAAGGCTTCATCCTACAGTTTCCCATACAACCTGTGGTCACATTGTGAGGAATCTCTTCCAAAATCCTCCTAAGTCTGCATTCCTAAGTAACCCAGTAGAGAATCTTACTTTATAATGTTATTTTTTTTTTTTTGGTAATATTTCTTCATCATTACAAATAAGGTCTGGAAGGTTGCCCTTGTAATAAAGGAACATGAAAACCATAAAGCAATTGTTTACTACCTTTGTGACCCTAACTTTGTGAATCTTGCAACTTCACTAGCTCAATAAGTTTTTTTAGCCTCCTGGGCCTTAAAATCCTATCTTTTATGTCCTCCAGCCCCCAACATTCACAGGACCTCAGCTGATAATTCCAGGTGTTTTACTAGAACCAGCCAATTAGGGCTTGATTTTCTCACTTCCTTGGCTCATGCAGCTAGTCTCAAGGAGGCATAGTAGTTGTGTTGTCCAGTTTCTTATGCTGTCCTGGCATTCAGGTGGATGGCATTCAGGTGGATGCCATCCAGTCCCAGATCCCACAGCCGTATGAAGCAAGATGTGGGTGACTCCTCCATTACTTGTTTAAAAGCTTCCACATCATGAGCAGTTCAGAAGCTGAATGTTCTTTGCTTCTAGCCGTTTGCTGTTCTAGACCTTCTGCATGCTGAATTGCGCATTTTATTGTCCTCTGTATTAAAACATAGACCTGAAAGGTGTCTTCTGTCACTTCTGTCTCACACTTTACCTTTTTATTGAGCATCCTTTCCCTATCTTACTCTTTCTATGGGTTCCATGTTTAGATCCCAGGAAAAGCTTTTTCTAATTTCTACTTTTTTGCTCTGCATCCATTCCCTCTTTCATTTTTGCACATATGTCTATTCCCATTGCAATTCCTGTCTTCCGTGGGCATGTTCTTTCTAGGTAAACAGCTGAGATTCCATTTCGTTTAATAGTCAAACCAACACCCAGGTAACAGCCTGCTTATGATCCTGGCCTATTTGTGCTACTTCCAGCAATTGCATTATATTGTTAAGTTTACCAGCCATTTAGGGAGCATCCCCATACTCATAACACACCCTATTCATCAAGGAAGGATGTCACCCTGTAGGACAATAGAGGGAGATGGATACTGTAGGAGTCCCCCTGAGGCCACTCACCTCTAAGATGGCTTCATTATGTTTGCATGTCTCATCAACCATTTCAGGGAGCATGGACATCCCACTTTGGGAGAGAAGCCATCATTCCATATCACATGGAGAAGGTTAACCATTTCAGAATCACCCCCAGAAGTCAGACTCAGTTGTGGTTTTATCATCCCTCGCAGAGACTTGTAACTTCCTTCCTCCCAACTCATCTTAGATTCTGGCCCCTGCTTGAGCATCAGTTCTGTTATGTTCCTTTGCTTGGTGTGACTTGAAAACAAACATTGAACACATAAGACAGGTCATCAGTGATACACAGAAGATTCTACCCAAGTCATGCTTGAAGCAGTGAACTAGTGAGTTCATTGGAGCTCCTTGCAGCATCTGTGACTTGGAGGCAGCTGTATCACAGAAAAGTCCAACCCTCTGTGATTTCCAAAGCTCTGAGCTAGAGCTCACTGTACAACATGCAGTCAGTTCTACTGAAGGGATTCTCTATTCTATTCCCCAGCCATTGCCCACTGTTTTTATAAGCTGGGGAGCAGCTTTGTCTTGTAATTTGCTGAGCCTTGTAGGTTTTGTTAGCTTTGTGAGTCTCAGGAAATTGTCTCTTCCCTGGAGGACAGATGTTTCAATTCAGAGGAAATAGCTACCTGACAATACTCTAAGAAGATACCTAACTGGTATTAAAGAAACAGTAGTAAGTTTAGACAAGTCCGTGCCACAATTTCAGAGGATTCTGATTCCTCATCAGAATACAAAAACGTGGTAATCTACATTTCAATATATTCTAAGTGGTCTAATGTAGCATGAACTTATCAATGTTATAGTTAAAAGTCAAAAATCTAAATCTTGTATGAGTTAGTGTTCTTTTACTGCAAAGTATTGTGCCAGGCAAATTTAAGTAGATGGCCATTTTAAAGGAAGTATGGGGAAAATATTAGTATATAAACATTGCTAATCCAAGCATATTCTTTCTTGCTTACATTTCTGGTCCTTGAATGTTGTTGCAGACATTATAAATGTTTGCCTCATTCTGATTCCTTAATAGACAGAAATAATTTCTCTTTCTCCTTCTACCTCTCCTTTCTTCTACTTCTATTCTAGACTACTTTTATAAAACAGTTTTTCTTATTGCTTATTGCTTAAATATTAATTCTTTATAAAGTACAGCTCATGACTTCCCTTCCCTTGAAACATTTTATTCTGTTGTAGAATTTCCACCCATTGTAGTTTCTCTGACCTCTGTTTCTCACCAATAGAAAAGAAAATTAAGTACCATTTTTCCAGCCTTAATTCTGTCTTGAATTTCTTTGTCTTGTAGCTATTAGCTACAATAGTTTTCATGAGGTAAACACCCTAGGACTAAGTATTTGTGGAGGAGGGATTGAAAATACAGTTACTTATATGGGTTTATGTTGTCTTAAAAACTTGTCTGTTTCATATTTACAAGTATTTGAAATAAGACAGTTCAAAGATGAATAAATAAAATTATTATTTATTAAAATTAAATTCTCCAACTAAGAAGTGATATTAAGTTAACTAATTAGTTGATTACTATTATAAGAAGGAGACTTCAGTTCAGATCCTGTTTTTTTGGAGCTCTGATCCCTGTCCTAGGAGGAGTGGGAGGGGCGGAGTCTGTCTATTGTACCCTACTTAGCAGGTATCCACTTAGTATCATCTCAGTGGAAGTAAAATGTACAAAGTACACTGAGTTATTTTGCTGTTGTTATTTGTTTTTACTTTGTATTTCAATTACTTTGTAATAATGTGTATGTAGGTAGGTGCACATAGGTACAGGAGCCCACAAAGCACAAAGGTTTCAGATCACTTGGAGCTGTAATTACAGGTGGTTGTGAGCTGCCCTAGGTGGGTGCTAGAAAAAGATTTGGATCCTTTACAAGAATAATACATGGTCTTTACTATGGAGGTCTCTCCATCTCCTTTTTTATTCTAAAATACAGTAGGGGTATGCATATAATATTTTTACACTAAAAGCTGATAACTAAACTTTTGAGGTTCAAAACACTGCTGCCTCCTAAACTTTTTTATACTGAAGTTGCAATAGATAGAATT